TTTGTGTGCCCTTTCCCTCCGTCCTTGCCGCCTCTGCAGGATGCCTTGAGTTCAAGTGCCTACTGACGGTTCATAGCCCTGACACCTCCATTCATAATATTTGTTCACAATATTTGCAAGTTGCATATCACTTGTCGTCCACCAAATTTGTAACCTTTGTAGAATAATATTTGAAAAGACGAGAATGAATTTTGGAAGTGTTTCTTTGTTCGGGTGGTTCAGATGAACCGGTGCCACTCCCTTGCTCCTCCTCATCGGGGGTATTCCCACCACCTTGTTCCTCCTCCTCGACAGGGGCTCGACCTCAGTGTCTTCCTCCTCAAACTCTGTCAATCTCGGGAAGAGTTTCTTATTGCAAAAACCATCTCTAGGGTTATAATTGATCTCCCAATCAACACGAGTTTGAGACGAAGATGTTGCCCCAACTTGGTGTTTACCAAGATGTCTTTCTTACAGTTGCGTTGGAGGTTACCTAAATCAACAAACTTTCTACAGCCCGACATGTTAAAATGTAACAAATATTAAAACATGACTACATTAAAATGTAACTAATATTAAAATGTGACTAATATTAATATGATTGATGAAGTATATTACGATATATCTAGGGGTATCCACATTTATGATAAAAGATCTCCAGAATCTGCAAAGGCAACCCCGATCGAGGCCGATCTAGAGATAAGTAAAAAATTGTAGTCGAGACCGAGGTTGACATCTAGCTTGATTTTTTCCGTTCTTTCTTTCTCTACTAACACCAATAATATGATTAATAGTTGTTAACTTGGCGGTTCTTCGAGAATCACCCAAACCCTTCCGTCTAGAATCATAACCTACTCACTATAGGTGTTTCGTAATAGTTGCCTTTTTCTTTGTTTCTCTTAGACCAGCACATAAATGGGTTCTGGCCGGGCTCATACCAGACTTTTTGTAAATTTTCTACCCATTATGTGTATGTGGGCGGCCCCTGCCCGGTCCTAACCTCATGTCCATACTCGCCCGTAAGAGCGGTCCAGGTAGTCCACTGGGCCACCCGACAAGTAAAAACTTTAAATTTTCAATTTATATAATTTTCTTTAATAGTTTTCAGTTTTAATATTACAATAGTTGAAAAATTGTTGATACACTTATAATGTTTATAGTCCTTTTACCACATACTAACACGAGAATAATCATGAGGAACTATAACTAAAACTTAAAATTCAAGCACAAATTGGTTGGGCAATTGGGCTAGTTGTTAAGAACTACAAACTTAAATTTAAACATAATAAACTATAAATATGTATATAGATATATTAGTAAATATAAATAAACACGTATACATGTAAATAAATTTGTGTCTATATATATATATATATATATATATATATAAATATATAGATAGATAGATAGAGAGAGGGTAGTATCCGTGTCCGGCCAGGTCGGCTAGGAGGGTGGTCTGGCCACCTCCATTTGAGGTGGTTGCTGGTGATATTATTTTCTGAATTTTTTTGTGTGTGTTCTTCATCAAGTCTAGTGATGGCAATCAGGGACGGGTACACACAAAACCGAAACTGCCCCATTGGATAAATGTTTTCCCCAAAACCGCCCCATTACCCGTTCGAGTAATTTTTATTTGAACCGTACCTGCCCCAACGGGGGATCGGTTTATCCACGGGTAACCGTTTCCCCAAATGATGCCAAATAACCATTTTTTTGGAAAACAAATAACCAATTTCTAATCCTACTTGTTAGTTATATATTCAAAACACCCTAAAACATACAAAAGTAAATATTTAAGCAATCAAGCAGACTGACCTAAATCCATTAGTATGACATGCACCTAATATCTCTTGTAACATAATAAAAAGGTAGTAATTATCCCATAATCCAAATTCCAAAAACAGGTTTATGCCTATATTTAGTTTTAGGCCTAAAAAGTAGTATACTTTTTAGCATTATTTATATGATATATACTATTCAGTATACACAATTTAGCATATATACTTATTATTCTTATATATATAAAGTTATACTCCCTCCGTCCCCCTAAGTTTGGGACGGAGGGGTGTGGTGTGGTTTTTAAGAAAAAGTGGAATTGTGTGGTTGGTATTGAATTGATAAAGTGTAAATAAAGTAAGAATGAATTCTAACCACTCAAATGTTACCAAATATGGTATGGGACAAACTTAGTGGGACGAACGAAAAAGGTAAAACGGGACAAACTTAAGGGGACGGAGGGAGTAATTCATTAATAATGTTACAGATCGGGTAACGGTGCGGGTACCCGCACCATTAGAAAACGGGGCGGTTTCGGGGCGGATAACGGGGCGGATTAGTATGGAACCATAACCGCACCATTAACCATTTAAAAAATCCGGGTATTCCCCGCCCCATACCCATTCCACAGTCAAACCGGTTTTCTCCAGTTTGACCAAATCGGTTCGGTGCGGGTATCCAACGGGTCGGCTGAAATTGCCATCTCTAAGATTCAAGTCTAGTTCATTCATACCAAATTTGAGAAAAAAAATCAACCTGGAAGGTAGTCAAATGAGTTTTGAAAGATAAATGTGCCGGAATATACATATAAAACACAATTTTTCTTTTGAAAACATATAATACGCAGTTATCTTTCAAAAATCGTTTTATTGTCTTCCCGATTGATTGTTTTCTCAAATTTGGTATGAATGAACTAGACTTGATGAAGAACATACACAGAAAATTTCAGAAAATAATACCATGATATTCGTGTAATTTCCGATTGTATGTTTGTATTTTTGACTACTTTTTACTAATTGTAGTTATGGAAATTACACACCTTTGGTGTAATACTTTATTTTCATTTTTATTTGTAATTTGTTTAGATTGAGATTATTCTGAGCTAAACAGGTCAAAGATCATCCAAGGGATCAAGATTGGACCTTAAAAGATCAAGAAAAGTGCAAGGAGGCAAGAAAGATTTCGATTTGGAAAAAATACTCATGTACCCGGTCGGGTATTGCCTATACCCGATCGGGTATTTGATTGATTCGAGTGTCCAAATCAAATCCGGGAACAAATGATCTAGGGAGCGAATTTTCACGGTAGTAAACTTGGATTATTAATGTATGCGTCTCATGGTTAATAATCTAAGGGGAATTAATTACATTGATTAAACCAATAAACCGCTTGTGTTGAGGTTATCAATCTCAATCGTTTTCATCTTAAGTTTATTGCTACTATCGGGTTAATATACGGCGTGTGTTCTATGTTAACTCGGTAGTAAGTTTTATTAATGAACGCGTCTCGTTATTAATAACTACTCTCGATGAATTGGAGATACTCCTCGAGAGGAAGATAGTTAAAGATATAACCGGGATCGACGAACATTTCGTTAAGTGGATACAAGCAAAACCAAGTGCTCATCTCTATTAATTAAACTCATATAAGTTATTCAACTTAGTGTTAATCAAATCAAATCAAACTTAAAACACCCCCTTTGTTACTAATTAATTAAGAAGAGAAGTATTCTTTTCCTTGTGGATACGAACTTTACTTTGTTATACTACGTATAATCGTTGTATTGATATCTATTTTGAGTGCATACACTACAAAGTGCACGTAATACCACCGGCAACTGCCTCAAATGGAGGTGGCCAGACCACCCTCCTAGCCGACCTGGCCGGACAAGGATATTTGTGTCTGTGTGTATATATAATGCACAATATGTTTCAAGATTTTTTTTGACTACCTTCCTGATCGAATTTTGAGCTAAAATTTGGTATGCCCATGCCCGCCTATATGCTATTGCGGGTCGGGCGGGACCGGTGGGTAAATATGTATGCCCATGCCCGCCTATATGCTATCGCGGGTCGGACGGGACCGGTGGGTAAATATATATGCCCAAGCCCGCTCATTTGTGCGGACAGGCTGGGCACCCCCACCCGATTTTGTGCATGTGTAGTTTCTTTCAATTTGATTTCGATCGATTACTCTCATCAACCAGGCAAACAACTCTCTCCTTTTGATTTATTTATTTTTTCAAATTTCTTCATGTTATTTGTTTTAATTCTTTCAATTTCTTCATTCTTCTATTATGAAAATCATACGAGTACAAAATGAATTGCATGTCTTGTATATCGATCATGTTACAGGTGAGTTTCATTTTTGCCCATGTTAGTTTAGATTAATGGTAACGAATAAACATTTTTTACAGCAAAATAGTTGTATATATTTCTAAACCAATTTCAGTTTGGAAGGTTTAGGAGAACCATGATAAATATTTTGACAACAAAGTGTATGTTATAATTCTTGAGTTAAATATCTCTTGCTATAGTGATTAATTTTTTATGGTTCCCTTTTTGAAAATATTGTGACTAGACTAGATTAGGGTAGACCCCGACCTCGACAGTTATAAATGGGATAAGGCTCAAATTGGACACTATGGTTTCATTAGAATCTCATATTTGACACTAAGGTTTTAAATGGACCAAATTAGACATTATGGTTTCATATGTATCTCATATTGGACACTAAAGTTTCATAATTCAATATAAGTGAGTGTCCAATTTGATCTTTATCCAATATAAGTGAGTGTCCAAAACCTATGAATCGTGAAACTTTAGTGCCCAATATGAGATACATACGAAACCATAGTGTCTAACTTGATCCATTTGAAACCTTAGTGTCAAATATGAGATTCTGATGAAACCATAGTGTCCAATTTGAGCCATATCCCGTTATAAATTACCCGGGGAGCAAACATCTATCAAATTAGACTAGATCAAAAAATTTCAAATCGAATTAAAAACATCCTTAAATCAAACTAGATTAATTTGGACTAAGAGTTAGGCCCTCCTATTAGTAACATTCTAAATTTTAATTTATGGATTTACTATTTCTGTGAAATTAGTATTTCCCTAAAAATTATTTATGGATTTCCCTACTAAAAGTATTGCGGTAATGTCCAAATGCACACGCAGTAAGGACTGTGCATATAATAATACTCCGTATATATACAGCATTAGATTCACTACATTTACTTTTCTTAATCAATTAATTAGTTAATCAATCTCTCTTCTGCGGCCACGCAGTCGTCTGTCGGGCGCGACTGGGTTTTCTAGGGTTACGCGACACCATTCAATTCAATAGGGTTCCGGTTCCATACTCCCGACTGTTTCGCGCTCTCTCCGTCGCGACACGACAGGAAATTGCACAAATATACATTCTTTTTTGTTCCTTCGAGGTGGACGTGGTAACTCTCTTCATAGAGTTTCGTTTGATGGTCTGAGCTGGAATCTGTAGATTTGGGTGATAGATCTTGAGAAGATGGAGACGTCCTCAGAGATTGAAGAGAAATTGATGGAAGCTGGAAACAAGCTTCTAAAGCCTCCCTCGTCCGTCGAGGAACTGCTCCCTTTACTGGATGTAAGTCTTAGGGTTTCTTTTATACCAACGTAGTTTTCTTTTCTTGGCTGCCCTGATCGTTTCTGCCAGATATACTTTTTTCTTTAGGGTTTTTCTTGAGAATGAATATTTTGTGCTATTTCTAAATGTTTTTCAACTTCGTTTGATTTTTTTGATGTTTTTCATCTAATCGTTGTATGTATCCTTAGTTCTTTTACAGGATCAGTTCGGTAGTGGGATTCCATTTTCCCTTTTAACTGTATTAGTTTGTATTTACCGTGCTTATGCTCTAGGTACTAGTATGTGACTGAGACATTCTTTGGCACTATCCATGTGGATCAAATTCCTTCATAGGGGGAATAGCCTAGCAATGATAATATCCAAGTCCACCCAGGGAATGAAACATACTATACTATATTTTTTGGGCAATTTTCAAGTTTAATTTTTATGTAATAGTGTGTAAGATCAGGTCACAACGACTCACAAGTCCTTATGTATCCCTTATGTTTCAAAATAGAGGCAATATTCGATAACTGCTTTAGGATGTTTTTACTTAGGCTGGTTTCAGTCCTAGACAAGAATAGACCTATCCAGACTTAAACGTAGCAGACTTAAACTGACCTTTAAAATAACATAATTATCATATTTGTCCATCACTTGGATTGATTTATTCGCTAGATAATGTAATCCAAGATATTCAACATTCAAATATGATGAACCAAGGTGAGAAAATAGTCCATGCTGTAGGAGTAGAAGATATGAACAACAAAGAGATAGAAAAAGATGGTCGAGAAAAAACAGAGAGGCTCCGAGGCATTACATGTTTGGGTTACTTGGTTTTGAAAACGGTGTATTTGGATTTTATGATGTGTTTTTCTACACAATCAGAACTTGCCATTTCATGTTGAAATAGAGAAGTTGAAAAAAAAACTATAAAAGGGTTTTTGTGTAATGGGCCGGGTAAACTGACCGGATTCAGTCTATTCCTATGGAAAACTTGAGTCTTGAGATTTAATTTTTGCACCATAATTTCTTTTACTATACTTTCTCATATATTATAGTATTTGTTCTAATAAATGTCAACATCCTTGACTGCGATGAGTTTTGACTTTTGAACATGTGACCTCTTCCTTGGGAGTATCACAATGATGCCATTGTAATACGAACATGGTGCTTGGCTGCAACATGATTCGTATGCTTCACTGCGATACAACTGCGTTTCGGACCCATTTCCGATTCGTTCTACTGCCAGGGTTAATTCGTGTTGCGTATCGTGATTCGTAGTGTATTAATCCCATAATACTTTCTAGACTATTAATTGTAGTGAAATTGTAGCTTACAGCCATCTGCATTGGGAATCTTTCCATTCTTTAACTTCTAGGGCTCTGAAACCCTTTGTGCTCACCAAGCACAGTAGGTATCAAGATCATAATTATTTCCTTAGTCAAAGTAGCTGTTGATTCTTCAATATCTCAATTTCTGGCTCTGAAATCCTTTCTGCTCACAGCTCACCAAACATATTAGGTATCCATATCATAATTATTTCCTTAGTCAAAATAGCGGTTGATTCTTCATTATCTCAATTTCTGAAATCTAAAATCTAAATGGTTTTTTGTAACTTCTTGTGTTCTGAAATCCATTGCTACCCATGCAACATAGTAGGTATTCAAATCATAAATATTTCTGTAGTGAAATAGCTAATGTGACGTTTGATTCTTCAATATCTCAATTTCTAAATGCTATTATCCGCTTTTAATTTAGACATGAATATTTAACTAGTGAATAATCTAAATGTTACTCTTTTGTAGGCTGTTCTTTGACTAACTGTTCATTTGTCCATGTCTTTAAGGAAGCTGTGTCTTTCCTCACAAAAGTGGAACAATCACCTGCTAAATCCGTGCTTGCTGCACTTTCTCCCTTGATCAAGGCACTGGTTGAAGATGTTCTTTTGAGGCATTCCGATGTTGATGTGAAGGTTGCACTCGCGTCTTGTTTAAGTGAGATTACAAGAATTACTGCTCCAGATGCCCCATACGATGATGAGAAGATGAAGGTATCAATGGTCATTGTGTTGTATTTTTAATTTTCACAATCATCATATTTTCTTTTTTTTATATGCAGGCTGTCTTTGAGCTAATAGTTTCATCTTTTGAGAATTTATGCCACGAGTCAAGCAGATCATTTGTTAAGAGAGCCATGGTTCTTGAGACAGTGTGCAAGGTCCGGCTATGTGTTGTTATGTTGGATCTGGAGTGTGATGAGCTTATCTCTAGGATGTTTCAGTACTTCCTTAAGACCATTAGGTAACAAATTATAACTGCTAATGCTAAAATATCTGTTGTTATCGTGCCACAAAATTCATATATTAAGACTTTTATAACATGCTTGTTTTTCATTTTTTGTTTCAACGGGACTTTCGCTCAAATGAGGATGATTAGTTTAAAAAATAAAGCTTCATTACATCAACTGCTCATATCGGAACTATAGAATTAGAGTCATGCACATGTCCACCTGAACTTCCAAATGAAAAACAGAATAATACTTAAGAAATGATATTAATATACAATGCACATGTGCAATATTCAACCGGCAAGTTTCAGAAACTCAACTTGCTCCTTTTATATTTTCATCTTTATGCATCTTTCAGTTGTAGAGTTCATTGGTTCCATAGCTGACAGAATGTGGAGTTAGTCAAATTTTTATGACAAGACCGTGCAATTATGAGAGGATTGGATCAATGAATTACTTATAATTAATAATAAATTATAAACTGGAAGTGCAGTTAAATACCTTTGATATTGTCCTTCAGAATGCTTTAATGTTTGCTTTAATGTAAATACTTGTGGAAATTGAAAGGTTTCTAATTATCTGAAAATTATCTTCAACTTTCAGAGAATATCATCCCAACAACATCTTCTCATCCATGGAATCCATCATGACTGTTGTTCTCGAAGAAAGTGAAGACATTTCCATGGATCTGGTTACTTATCTTTTGGCTAGTGTTAAAAACGAGAATGAGGTATTGTTAACTATCACGGTTGTGATCTTTTCCCATTTTTTGTAGTTTCTTTTAACAATCCAGCTTTTTTTGTTCTTTCAGGAGATAAAGCCAATTGGCAAAAGGTTGGCTGAGCGTGTATTTACGAATTGTGCTGACAAGCTTAAGCCTTATGTCAGACATGCTGTGAAATCTCGGAGCTTATCACTTAATGAGTATAGTGAAGTTGTAGCTTCCGTTATGCAAGGGACTCCAGTTGCTATTGAGTTTAATAATGATGTGGACCCATCGGTATGGTGTACTTATATTTTTGAACATGCTTCACTTAAATGTATTTATATTTTTCTTCATCATTATAACTACTTTTCTTGGTACTACCATTCGCGATCTTATAGTTTGTTCCATTTCAACCAAATAAAAAAACTTGGTATATGCCACTCAAAGGTAAGGTGAGTTAAGGTGTACACAGACCAATGATTTTCAAAGTCATGGGAGGCGTATGCCTCAGGTGCGCCATGTAACACTGTCGAATAGCGCTTTTAGTAAAGGATCGACCATAATCTGAACACATAGACACTATATGTTTAAGTTTCTGTTTTATTACTTGCTTGGATCTGATTCATAAACTCACAATGAAACTTTTTCCCTTTGACGACTGTGTGATACATACTTCTTTCATATTTTTGGGGTGTGATTGTGTGAATTGATGTGTTAGTACCACATGAACTGTATAGTGCGAGCGTAGTGTTAGCATGGGCTTTTTTTAATGAATAGTTTGAGGTTCTTTTGTAAATTATTGTGTATGCAGAATTCTCTGCTTAGTTTTGGTGTTATATTTGTAGGTTTGTACTTGATCTAGACTTTTTTTGAGGCATTGTGGCCAATTTTAAATCTTTCCTTTGGCATTTCAATAGTATATGTCCTTACATTTGCGTTCCTGAAATTCTTTGCAATAAGGTGCCTGTTTCCACCCCCCTTTTGTTGGTCATTTGTTAGTCCTGGTGTTGTTTTTGTTTTTTTGTTTTGTTTTGTTTTTCGTCATCACCTAAATCCCAACTGTATTGGGTACTTGGCATTGGTTTCTTTAATCTTGTCATGATTTATTAGTTTCTGAATCTGTAACTATCTTTGAACATCCTAATTTGACAGTGTGCGGAGAGCAAGTTGGCTGGTTCTGGAGGGACAGCTCAGTTAACTCAGGTACATTACTATGTAATTACTTGCTTGCTCATTGTATGTAAAGCTGGAGAGACATTGCATTTTAAACACAAGTTGGCATGTTTTTTAGGCTTCCGAGTATAAAGTACCTTCTGTCTCTTCAGATGAATTGGGCCAGGTAAAGGCAACCATTTTTTTAAAGAACGAGGGTGTGCTTGGTTAGTGGTTTGGAGGGGACGGAATAGGAATGCCACGAATATGATGCCTGGCTATTGGAAGCGATTCCTCTACAACGATACCTATGAGCTATAATAATTCCCTTTACTTTGTCAATTCATTTTCTATTTCCGTTCCCCTAAACATATCAATTATCCCCTAAATATAAATTTGATGTGTTAGGCAGTAGTTGACTTGTTGCTCTCAAAAGTTTGAGAGAAAGGTATTTGTGCTCTTTCCAAGCACTATTCCCTATGTTTTTGCAGCATAACATACTATTGATTATGCTTTTGGATTTTGATCGTTTCATTTATCAGATGGCTGAGGACACCAAAAAAGAAGCATTTTCTAAGGATTACAATCAAGTTGTGAATACATCTCCCAAGTCAGCTGTGGGAAGTAATGTTAATGGAGGGAATAGCATGGACACACAATCTTTAGCAAATATGGAGGATAATGCCCCCATGGAACAGCCTGATATTTCAAGCCCGACACCTAAATCCGCCTCTGATGATTCACAGTTAAAAAACTCAGTGATATCAGAGTTGGAGATGTCTGAGCAAGTTAGCAAGGAACAAGGAAGCAAGTCTAACTCTCAATTGAAGTTGGAAGACTCTTCGTACCAGGATCCTCCTCATGTTGATGGTGAAAAAGTGGCTGAGATGCTTCTAAGTAGTGAAATGTGTAAAAGAGATGTTCCTGGTTCACCCACTGAAAATTCAACTGACGACCAAAAAGATAACGGTGAAGGTATTGACACTTTTCCTGTGGATGACACAACAGTTGAGGCGGCCAAACTTCTAGATGAAAATGAAACCAGTGCTTCACATTCGTTGCCCAAAGTACCTGAGGATGAAGCTGAGAATGTTACTTCCTTAGACCCTAATCATAGTTTACCTGATGAAATAAATAAGGAGACTATTAAGCGAAAGGATGATGACTTGGTTCAGGAAGATTCTTCGTTACCTGAAGTTGCATCTAAGAAGCCATCAGGACCAAGTGATTCAGATTCACAGCCAAAAGACCTTAGTACCAGGGTGCAGAAAGAGACTTCTCACAAGGAAGAAGCCGACTCCATGAGCTGTGCAGAGGTAAAAGGCCTGAATCAGCTAGGTGAGAAGGCTAAAGCTAATGACAAAACATTTGTTTCCTTGGATAAAAATGATAAGCAAACTATTCAGCAAAAGGAAGATGCTTACTCCATGAGCAATGTAGAGATGAAAGGCCTGGAACAGCGAGTTGAGAAGGCCAAAGCTAATGATAAAAAAGAAATTTGCTCAGACAAGCACACCATTCAGCCTAAGGAGGCTGGTACTGCTGAAATTCGTTCTAGGAAGCCATCCGAGGAAGAACCTAGCTCCATGAGTGATGCAGAGGTGAAAGGTCTGAAACTGCATGGTGAGAAGTCTAAAGCTAATAATAAAAAAATTGTTTCCTCAAAGAAAAAAGACAAGAGGATCATTCAGCCTAAGGAGGATGATAGCTTGTTTGAAAAAGATTCTGTGCCTGCTAAAGTTGCATCTCAGAAGCCATCTGAAAAAACTAGTGATCTCAAATCACTTTCACAGGAACCTGGTACCAGGGTTCAAGAAGAGACTTCTCACAAGGAAGAAACTGACTCCATGAGCGATACAGATGTGGAAGGCCTGAAACAACGAATTGAGAAGGTCAAAGGTAATAAGAAAAAGTTAGTTTCCTCAAAGAAGAAAGACAAGAAAACTCTTCAGCCAAAGGAGGATGATAGCTTGGCTCAGGAAGAGTCCATGTTGGCTGAAATTACATCTAAGAAGGCATCTGAAGTAGCAAGTGGTTCAGAATCACAGCCTAAGTCTAAAGGTAATAAGAAGATCATTTCCTTTAAGAAAAAAGAGAAACGTAGTACTCAGCCAAATGAGGACGATAGTTTGGTTCAGAAAGAGTCAGTGTCTGCTGAAATTGCATCTAAGAAGCTATCTGGGCGAACAAACGATTTAGAATCACAGCCACAGGACCACGGTACCAACATGCAGGTAGAAACTTCTCATGAGGAAGGATCTAGCTCTATGAGTGATGTAGAAGTGAAAGGCTCAAAACGGACAGGTGTCAAGGCTAAAGCTAACAAGAGAAATGGTGCTCCTTCAAAGAAACGAGGGATTCAGGAAAATGAAGATGATAGTTTGGTCCAGGATGAGTCTGTCTCCGCTGACATTCCATCTCAGAAGCCTTCTGAAGAAAGTAGTGATTCAGAATCAGAGCCACAGAACCTCGGTACTAGAACGCAGAGAGAATCCTCACATGAGGAAGAAGCAGTCTCCATGAGCGATTCGGAGGTGAAAGGGCCGAAACGGCGAGGTGTCAGGGCTAAAACAATTAAGATAACCAGTGTTTCCTCAAAGAAAAATAATAAATCAAAAAGACGTCGACGTGGAAAGGCTAGTATTGAGATTGATGCGCCAAAGTTGTCTGCCAAAGATGATACCGACGTAACTTTGTTATTTGTCTTTAAATTTTAATTCCAGTTATCCTATCAATAATGATTTCTGAATCCATATAATATAACACTTGCATTATTCATGCAGAAGGTCGTGTTTTCCGAAGAATCTCCCTTAAAGTCTGCTGAACACAATGTGAAAGAGGGAAGCCAAAGGAATAGCACAAAGAGGAAGCGCTCTTCGGGAAAAGAGAAAGTACTTATTTTCTGACTCAATTGAAATACATCTGAACTCCATACTACATGTTGCCATTGATGTTGTAACTGAGTATCTTTTCATAACTTGATTAGTGTTGTACTGCACATTCACTTTTGTCATAGACTGTATACTTCAGTTCTTCATGATCTGAAATTCTAACTATTGATGATGGTCCAACTAAGGGCCTTGTCGTAACTTGATTAGTATTGTGCTACACATTCATTCATATCATAAGCTTTATTCTCTATTCGATTGGTGTCTTCATCCTTTGTTTTATTTGGGGTGGGGGGGCTTGCACTGATCTTTATATGCTCAAATTGCAAACCCCATTCTTTCTGTGTATTTTTTTATTTGTTCTATACAAAAGCTATTTCTGACAGTTTTAGTGTTTTTTCAGGTACAGGAAAGCCCAAAGATAACATATGATGAAAGCCTCGTTGGTTCCAAAGTCCAAGTCTGGTGGCCTTTGGATAGGGAGTAAGTTTTGTTCATGCATCTATCATATGAAGTCAGGCATTTTTTATGATCACCACAAGAGGTGAATAATTTCATGGGTAATGAACACATGATAATAATAGTTGGGAATTTTTGGTGGATTGGTTGCTATGATGGCCATTCCCTCCCTGCATTGTCAAGGATATTCTTATCCCAAGGATCAACAACCCAATGGATTGTTAGCTATATGCCCACTGTAAAAATATGTTAAGAGCCATCCAAGAGTCGTACTAGAGTGTTCACTTAATTATACTTGTAATGTGCTAACTGAGTTTGACTAATTACTACAGATACTATGAAGGACAAATAGATTCTTTTGATCGTGTTAATAAGAAGCACAAGGCACGTTAATCTTTTCCTCGTGATAGTTTGTTTGCGTTTTTTGACACTTATAACAACTGAATATTCTGTGAATTTTCTGTCAGGTTGTATACAATGATGGAGAGGTAGAAGACCTCGATCTTAAAAAAGAAAAATGGCACATTGTCGGTGAAAATTTGACAGAAAAAAAGGTGTATAGCTAACTCATGTATTGTAAACGTTTACCCCCATCCAACATTAGAAATTATTTGACTATCATCTTTTGACAGGATTTGGATGAGCCTTCAAGCCCTGAAGTTTCTGCTGAAATGTGAGTGCTGTATTTTGTTTTTAGCAACTTATGTCTTTTAATATTAGTTGTTTGTGTCTTCGTGAAAGCAAAGCTTGAATTGGGTGCTATTTTATTACATTTCTATTTGTGGATGTGGTCTTTAGCTGCTAGAAGTGTTGCTATGAGGCCACAGACTAAATGATGATCCCTAGCTATGACTGTACCTTGGAATGCCAGAAAATATGAATTGAACTAATAAACTTCATTTGGTTGGGGGGGGGGGGGGGAAGACACATGTTCGGTTTGGGGAGATAGCATTGTGAACTGGAGGACTCCTTTCTCACAACATTATTTTGAGGAGCGAATTTTACATTTCTTTTTTCCCCTTTAAACTCTTAAATGTCTTTTTATGGTTATGGACTCCTCTGATGCCCCCATTGATACGGACTTGAGTATAAATATAAATAGTACTGAGTATTTTATTAAGTAATTTTTATTTACTCAATAATAGGGTTTTAGGCCCAATAGCTTATTGAAGTGGGATGGCCCATTAGAAATAGAATAAAGGGGGGGGGGGATAAACGCAGGCAGGAAATTGGGACTGGGAATTGGGAGTGTGAGGCCACTCGAAGAGTCTCAATTGTTTTCCGTTTTCAGTACTTCGTATCTACGCTATTTTCCTTTTCAAAGTTTAGTTCCTATCACCCATATCCCATTCCCCCCCTTGGTGAAGTGTAATGATTGAGACTCCATAGAATCCCTGGGTCACACATTTGGATATTGGAGGCCATATGATCATGACCAGGCATCCCTTACGCTGAACTGGTTTTAACAATATTTTTAAATTGAACCCTGGCATCCCCAGCTGCATGAAGTGACAAACTATGATTTAGAGTTTTAGATCATATTTTTGACAGTATTCAAGTATCCTGATCTCAAATTTCTATTCTATTCTTGCATATGCTAATTATGATGTTTTGTTTTTAGTCCTCACATCATACTGAGGCAAAGTCTGTCAATTTTTTTGAAGCATCTGTGAATTTTCAATTTGATCTCTGTTGTTTTATGTTCTAGGGAGAGGCGTAAGAAGAAAAAGAGTAGAGGGCTTGCTGAAACATCATCATCCAAGCATGACAAGTATCATGTTTCACCTGAGAGGTCTCTGTTTTGTTTTTCATCTATTTTTTTCTATTTGTGCTGTTTATAAATTTGTCAAAGTGTTTCAAGAAAGTACTGATGATTGTGGTGTAATGCTTTAACCAGTAGTGTGCCCAAGTTCAAAGGTTCATCTACAAAATCCGGTCGTAAATCCAAAGATGACACCAATGTTAAGCCCAAGCCAAAAGATCGCACCTCAAAATCTGTCGGCAGTAGTAAATCTAGGGAAGTGAGCGGCCACAAGTACGACTCTGATGAAGGGTCTGGTAAATTGAAAGATGTGATCAGCAGTCCCCCGAGGTCAAAATCGTCAAAATCAGATGCATCTACCAAGACCACCACAAAACCTCAGCAAGACACCACTTCAACAACAAAAGCGACCCCCACATCAAAAGGTAAAGCCAATGGCACGACAGGCAAAGCAAAGTCTACTTCCAAGGGGAAAGATAATGAGGTGAAGGAAAAGATGCCTACCGAGGTAATTGGGAAAACACAATCCAAGGAACAGGAAACTGAGAGCAAGATTGGAAAGAAGAGAGGAGCATCCAAGGAAGAAGATATGGAGAGCAAGAGTGGAAAGAGGGGAGGTGCATTTAAGGAAGAAGTTAATGAGAGCAGGAGTGGAAAGAAGGGGAGTGCATCTAAGGAAGAAGATAATGAGAGCAAGAGTGGAAAGAAGGGGAGTGCATCTAAGGAAGAAGCAGTTAAGAGCAAGAGCGGAAAGAAGCGGAGGAGGAAGTAGAGAAGAGCCTATTAATAGCGTTGCCCCAATGTAATCATCTCCAGGCTGTCTCCTAGGTTCTTAGGTTGTTGGCGTGTTTCTCTTACCCTCGGATATATTCTACTCTAGAAATAATTTGTGAAGTTTATTTTGGAGCTGACTAGATGTAAAACTTTTCTTTGGGGAATCAATAGTATAGTATTGTATGATGGTTGGTTTAGTTTTTAATGGAGTCCTGTGGACATCTGCATGTCCGGATGATGGGGACATGGGCTTTATGTCGTTGTACTATAGTTTAGAGTAGCTTGACTGGTAATGATGTTTTTGGGAAATTTAGTACTTGTACCCTGAGAATACGAATTTGGCAAAATTTTTATTCAAATAATGCTTCATCTCCACATTCAATAAGAGAAGTAACCATAATTGGCCATCATAGGCGTTGACTGTGGTCGATCTGGTCCAGAAACCAGGTCGAGGCCACCCGTTCATTTGCCCTAAGGTATAGGAATTGGTCCTGACTTGGAAATTTTGGACAATTTTGATTATGAAAAGCCGTTCATTTGTCCGAAATTTTGGTTCGCCTGTATCCTTCGAGAATGAAAAGCCGTTCTATCCTAAGAAACCATTGTTGTGGACAATATTTTTGGGCTTGGTTTCCTCATAATTATGTGTGCTCATCTTTATCATCATCATCATCATCATCATTTTTTACTTCCTCCGTCCCGGAAAATTGCTCCTGCATTGACTCAGAACAGAGTTTAAGAAAGTGGGAATAAAGTGGAAATATATGGTTGTGGTTGTGTAACAAAAAGGTAAATGATTTGTAGCCACAAAAAACTTTCCAAAAGGGGAAAGTGGAACAATTTTTTGGAACGACCCAAAAAGGAAATCGGGAACAATTTTCCGGGACGGAGGGAGTGTTTATTTTGCAGATTTTCAAAATACACAAACGTTAATATTGGACGAGAACCTTTATCTGAGACGGAGATAGTACTCTTTTTTAATGAACATTATCTGTTTTTACCTTTTCAAAATAATTTTATCAAACACTACCTACTTTTATTATTAAGGGAGTGTTTGCTGTACATTTAAAAAAAGTGTTTTCAACTTTTTTTCTTAAAAAATGAAATTGGTGTTTTCAAGTTCAAATTAAAGAATATACTTCTCTCTTGTCAGAAACCAGGTCGAGGCCACCCGTTCATTTGCCCTAAGGTATAGGAATTGGTCCTGACCTGGATATTTTGGACAATTTTGATTATGATTACTTCGTATTTTATATTTTGGACAATAGAGTGTTGTTTGGTTCGCCGGTATCCTTCGAGAACGAAAAGTCGTTCTATCCTAAGAAACAATTGTTGTGGACAATATTTTTGGGCTTGGTTTCCTCATAATTCCATGTGCTCATCTTTATCATCATCATCATCATTTTTTACTCTCTCCGTCCCGGAAAATTGTTCCCGCATTGACTCGGAACGGAATTTAAGAAAGTGAGAATAAAGTGGAAATATATAGTTGTGATTGTGTAACAAAAAGGTAAATGAATTGTAGCCACAAAAAACTTTCCAAAAGGGGAAAGTGGAACAATTTTTTGGGACGACCCAAAAAGGAAATCGGGAACAATTTTCCGGGACGGAGGGAGTATTTATTTTGCAGATTTTCAAAATACACAAACGTTAATATTGGACGAGAACCTTTATCTGAGACGGATATAGTACTCTTTTTTAATGAACATTATCTAATTTTTACCTTTTCAAAATAATTTTATCAAGCACTACCTACTTTTATTATTAAGGGAGTGTTTGCAGTACATTTAAAAAAAGTGTTTTCAACTTTTTTCTTAAAAAATGAAATTGGTGTTTTCAAGTTCAAATTAAAGATCATACTTCTCTCTTATTCGGATAAAAACTCAAATACACAACTTTTACTTATCTTATTTTCACGTAATTCGAAATTGACAATATCTAACACTACGCGTACTATGTAAGTCACAAGTAATATGGAGTATAAAATATTTCTCTGTAATTACATTCTAATTTAAATGATAATGACTTTACAATATATTTTCAAAATTATTAATGTATGTACATTACTTAAGTATAAAATTATTTAACTTTGTAAATATTAATGATTTCGAAAATGAAACGTAAAGTCAAATATTAAAAACTCATCTAAATCAATAAACCATTGATCCAAAAGGTTGAATCCTCAATCTCAAGAGCCCCACACCCCGATCGGCCGACCCCACAGAACACATGGGAGGTTGTAAATTACGGTGACTCAGTCAACGAAGTGACAGTGGGCCCATATACTCGTGCGCGCCAAAGGTCCAACCTATTCCAGAAGTTCTGTAACTTGCACACCCTCTCTGCTAGGGTTGTAAACGAACCGAATCGAGTCGAATAGTGAGATTTTGTATTTGTATTTGTTTAATTTTTTTCGAATACGAATTCGAATTCGAATATGGAACGAATATTATTTTCGATTTGTATTTGTATTTGTTTAACTATATGAATAGTTAACGAATCATATACGAATATCGAATTGATTTGATCATAAGTTAAATATTAATCAAATATCACTTTAAAACAACTTTTCCTATATCTACTCAACTATCCCTACCTTAAAGTTAAAACCCATCTAAACCACAATGGATAGGTAGGCGTAAATTTGCAAATTGTTGAAGCCATCGTATTATTGGAGTCTCGACGATAAGGGGGATAAGGGTCAGTTTAGTCCTCGAAGTTGTAAAAAAGGGGTCAAATAAGTCCTTATATAGAAGATTCTGTCCGGACGTGCCATTTGTGGTGGCTCCCGATGGAATTTTTTGATGAAATTTTTTGAGCATCTTATTCATTAAGTCTAGTTTACTCATACCAAATTTCAGATAAAAATTCAATCAGAAAGACATTCAAATGAATTCTTGAAGATAACTGTGCCGTTAAAAGCGTTGTTATCTTCAAGAATTTATTTGAATGTCTTCCAGATTGAATTTTTAGTTGAAATTTGGTATGAGTAAACTAGACTTAATGAATAAGATGCTCAAAAACATTTATCACAAAATTCCACCGGGAGCCACCTCAAATGGCACGTCCGAACATAATCTTCTACATAAGGACTTATTTGACGCCTTTATTGCAACTTCGAGGACCAAACTGACCCTTTACTCCGACTATAAGTTTTTCAAGTTCTAAATATACGGCCGGGGAGGTAGCAGACGCAAAGGCAACCGCGGGGACCGACGCCCGACGGTTTTAATCCGCTAAAACTGCTGCCATCGGCGTGGATAGAGGGAATTAGGGTTAAGGGAGGAGTAGATCGAGATCCTCTCCGATGGCATTGAAGTTTCTGAACAAGAAGGGATGGCACACGGGGAGCCTTCGTAATATAGAAAACGTATGGAAGGCCGAGCAGAAACATGAGGCCGAACAGAAGAAATTAGAGGAGCTTCGCAAGCAGATCGTAGAGGAGAGAGAGCGTGCGGAGTTTAGGGAAATTCAGGAACAAGCTGGTCTCGTTCCGTAAGCAGTCTTTCTTTTCTTTGCCATTGTACTTACGAATTTTAATTTAAGATTTCTATGTTCTATTGTTTATTTCTTACTGATTTTTCATTTTTTTTTGCAGGCGGCAGGAGAGGTTGGAGTTTTTGTATGATTCTGGTTTAGCTGTGGGAAAGAGTAGTGGATTTAAGGCTCTTGAATCCACTCCCTCCCAGACGGATCCTCCTGACTCAACAGCTTCTTCCTCTGCATCTAAGGTAATTCTTTTTTATTTCTTTATAAAAATGTATACTCTGTATTTCTTAGATTCTTGAACATGTGCTTCTAGTTTTGAATGTGGAAGGAGACACCATATGGTTATACTACGTATATGTTATGACACATTATATTTGCACAAGCAGGCTCAATCATCTGTTCCTGGTGCTTTATTTGAGGACAAGCCACAATCTGCCAATGATGCTTGGAGGAAACTTCATTCTGATCCTTTGCTATTAATTCGACAACGGGAGCAAGAAGCTTTAGCTCGAGTGAAGAACAACCCAGTACAGATGGCCATGATTCGGAAATCTGTAAGCGTTTTCAAAACTGTGATACTTTTAATACTTATCCATACTACTATTTCCATCCCTTAAAAGTTAAAACTTTGATATCTTTGACTTTTCAAGTCAACCACAATAAACTCTAGCCAATGATTTTAATTAATAAATTTTAGTTATAACTTTTGTACATTTGTGAAAGTATTTATAATAAAGAACATTTTCCTATCATTTTTATATTATAAACAATTCTATAAAAATATATTATTAGTCAAAGTTTAACTTCATTGACCAGAAAATTCAAAGTTAGCAAATTTTTAAGGGACAGAGGGAATATATTAATTACTGTAGCAATTTCTCTACTTTTATGTTATATTAAAAGGTAGAAGATAACGTATTTCTTCTATGTTTTAAAATCGAGGGGTTTGACTTGTGTTAGATCAGAGAGGACCTACCTTTGCTATGCGGTTGTTAACAAAAATTTTGCTACTTTTAATGTTTGAGATGGTTTTAAATCGAGATGACTATCATTTAGATGTCATAAAACTGATATGATTATTTTTTCAGTTAGCTTTCATTGTGGTGGAACCCTTCCCCAGAGCCCCCGCCTTAGGGTGATGCCCTAGTGCACCGGACTGCCTTTTTTACCTTTCTTCTTTGCTCTGTGTTTTTTAAAATATCAGCAGTATGCTTCTTAGATATCAGAGTTTCCTGTATTCAATGAATGTTACATTCACAGGACGTGTGGTTTAGTTTTGTGAGAAGTGAGAACCTTGTGAGAAGCAAGGTGCAGTATGTTGAAAATCCTTATAGTGATCATTAGTTGAACCAAATGGGGTTCTTGGATGTAAAGTGCTGTGGAAAGAAATTAATAAGGGCAGTAGATTAATCAATACCTTGGATGGAAGGAAATTTGGGTAAAATGAAAAATCGGTTCAAACTCAATTAATCAATGCTCAATTAATTAATTCTAGATCTGTATCCTGACTCATTTTATTTTCCCATCTCATTTTCCACCTAAAACCAAACATTGTTAGAAATTATGTTCAACATCATGTTTTCCATTCTCCAAACATTTTCCGCATTCCAAATGAATCCAAATGGGATTATCTGGGGCTAAATTTTTGAAGTTCTCAATGAAAATGGTATGCGTAGGAAGGAGGTTCTCAAAATGAGATTATCTGAGGCTAAATTTTTGAAGTTCTTTTTTGCTGTGTACAATGGAGAGGGAACACGAGATTTTGAGTTAAATGTCTGCATATTCTATGCCAGTTAGTAGCACAATAATTGGGTAATCCTTACTCCGTAGATGAGTAGATGTTTATGTTTATTGCATCTCACACTAGTAGAAAAGATTTGGCTCATTAACAAGCCCTTGGGTATGATT